CCTCCATCATTACCTTCTAATCTTCCTTCACGTCTCTTAATTAATGATGCTGCATCATCTTCAATTTCTCCTACCTCTGCAGCCTTCGACAACGATCTGAGTCCACAGAACAGCATCCCTGGTCTCCTTAAACCACGCTCCAAATTACATATTGGAGCCTTCAATGTCCGCACCCTCCGTCAAATTGGCCAACAGGCTTCGTTGGCAAAGACTCTAGCAACTCGGGCATGGATGTGTGCTGTGTTTGTGAGACACGCATACAGGACCCAAGTGTGGTTATTCACCTGACCTCTCCTGACCAATCTGGTGAATCTGCAAAATTCACCCTTCGAGTTTCTGGAGATTCGATAGCTAGCTCTCGTGGTCTTGCAGGTGTAGGTATAGCATTAAGCACCAGGGCAGAAAACTCACTACTAGACTGGATCCCAGTTGATAGTCGCCTCTGCGCTATGAGGCTGAACGGCACAGTGAGAACTAAAAGGAATAGTGAGACTCGCCGTTGTCTCTTTGTAATCTCTGCTTACGCACCCACTGACTGCAGTTCGGATGAAGTGAAGGACGAGTTCTACCATAAACTGTCTAACCTCCTCTCGAAAGCCAAACGTTCGGACGTAGTGGTTGTTGCAGGTGACCTCAACGCACAGGTGGGTAGACTGAGTGAGGCAGAAAGGCACTTAGGTGGCACTTTCGGAATCCCAGCTGAACGTACAGATAACGGTGATCGCCTATTACAACTATGCTCAGATAACCGCCTATTTTTAGCCAGCACAAATTTCAGACATAAAGAAAGGCACTGTCTGACCTGGCGTCCACCGAGCTCAACTCAGCGATGGACACAGATAGACCACATTGCTATTAGTCATCGCTGGAGAGGATCGGTGGAAGACTGCCGCTCCTTCTGGAGTACGTGTTTGGACAGCGATCATGCGTTGGTCCGAGCACGTATATGCCTGCGTCTCAATGGACGTAGAAAAAATTTGGCAACAAAACCACTACGAGTTCTGCTGGACAACGAAAACACCAAAGCCGTGTTCAGTGAGAAGTTGGCTAGGCAGTTATCGGAACAAAAGACTGTCACTCATCCAGAAGAAGCTTGGTGCCATCTTCAGTCTACTGTAAAAGCAGCACTGAAGACTGTAGCCGACTCAGAAATAGTGGCTAAAAAGAGCCAGTGGATATCAGCAGCTTCTTCCAAACTAATGGATGCACGTGAATGCATCCCTGCAGGCTCTGAGTACAATGAAGAGCAAGCGCAACTTAAAAGTAGACTGACGAAAAGTCTACGCAACGATCTCGAACAGTGGTGGGCAGCGAAGGCTAAAGAGATGGAAAGGACGGCGGCGACTGATATCTGCAGACAGTTATTTAGACTTATTAAGGGAACTGGGGGGAAATGTGAACAATGGTTAAGTAGGCTATAGCGGAAAGGGACGGATCTGCGATTCACTCGCGGGGGAGACGACTGGAACGATGGGCAGAACACTTTGAGGAACAGTTTAACTGGCCTCCAGCCACCATTGCGTTGCCCGTATCCAGTCGGATCCTAAATAAAACATTCAGATAGGTCCCCCAACACTTGAAGAAGTTGAGGAAGCGGTAGGTAACCTGGAACGAGGAAGGGCAGCAGGACCAGACGGACTACCTGCTGAGGTATACAAGAATGTTGGTAAGGTGCTCTTAGTCAGGTTAACGGAAGTGTTAGCCAGTATATGGGAATCAAATACGATCCCCTCCGACTGGTCTAAGTCACTCATCATCCCAGTCTTCAAGAAAGGCGAGAAATCCTCTTGTGATAACCACAGAGGACCTGAAGGCGGCATTTGACTCCGTTGATGGAGAAGTCTTATAGCAATATCTGTCACTGAAAGGCGTGCCGAGTAAGTACATCACCTTATTGAAGGGCTCTCTACTCGAACACTTATAGGCGTCTAAGAGCCTATGGTGAGTTGTCCAGGGAGCTATACTCATCGAGTGGTGTCCGTCAAGGACGCCCACTGCCTCCATTCTGATTCGATTTTATCATAGATATTCTTATGGAGGTTTCCCTCTCGTCACCTAATTACACAGACGTTGACCTAATCACAGGAGAATTTTCGTTAGACTTAGAATATGCAGATGACATAGTTCTGTTAAGTGAAGACGCTGACAAGGTGCAGAGTCCTCTGAACACTTTGAGTGGGAATTTGAAAATGTTTGGGATGCGGTTCTCATCACCCAAATGCAAATTTTTGCTCCATGACTGGTCTTCAGCGGTACCACGGCTAACAATAGAGAGTGAAGTGGTTGAGTAAGTCGACCACTTCACTTACCTGGGAAGTAGGATCAACCCTGTTGTGGTCAGTGGCCGATGAAATCTCTGCACGTATACAAAAGGCTCGATTGGCTTTTGCCAATTTACGCCACCTATGGCGCCACCATGATATCCGTTTGTCTATTAAGGGTCACATATACTACACAACAGTCCGCTCTGTTCTACTGCACGGCTGTGAAACATGGCCATTGAAAATGGAAGATACAAAAAGGCTTCAAGTGTTTGACCACCGTTGCCTTCGTAGTACAGGACGTATTCCATGGTGTCACCACGTGAGTAATGCAGAAGTTAGTTGTAGAGTTTTGGGGAGAAGAGATAAGTCAGTTGACGAGGTTGTGAACCTTCATCGACTGAGATGGTTGGGACACGTACTACATATGCCTAGTCACCGATTGCCTCGTCACACAATGTTGGCTGAGGTGGGTCCAGGCTGGAAAAAGGGTGGAGGTGGCCAGACTAAAACATGGCACCAATGTATGAAGTCTCTGACTGTTGGTTTGAGTCATGTGGAACAATGCAGACTAGGTGGTTGGGGTCCACGGGACAAGAGGAACAAGTGGCTGGAGACTCTATGTGATATGGCTCAGAACCGATGTTAGTGACGCAGATGTATACACGCATTATCCTCATCTTAACGACAATATACCGAATCTCACCATTTTGTCATTGCTCTTTTCTTTCTTCCCGTACTTTATATTCCTTTTGACTGTATTCTCTTATTTTCATCCTTCACCTTACTACCTTTCTAATTGATGTACTGATATGAGGTGTGGCAACTCGGACCGTTAAACAGTAATGCCTGGTCCTATGATGATATTGACTGATCATCATCCCCATCAATACTACTACTCATTTCCACCCTATTCCGGTAAATCAATGCGAAGAAAATCCGTTAACACTATTCACCACTTTATTCCAACTGAAACTGTATACACATCCACCTCATCCTTTTCAATTTGTACTTATAAAATTACCGAATGACTATGTCACCAGCGTCCTTTTTGCCTGATATTTACAATCAAGACGAATATGAATTGGAGTACATATATACATACACATGTAGCATACATGGGCCATACAACAAAAGACATACAATTTCACACTGAATGATTAGTTATCATAATTTAGAAAAAAAACAATGACTATATACGAAGAGGGTTGGGTAAGGAGATTAAATACACGTTTTTTGAATTCATTTATATATCCTTGATATTTTAATTTTGATTATTTCCCTGAAGAAGCTCGGACCAGACTTCCGGGAGAAACGTTGGAATGATGTGATTTCAAATCCGCTGTGACTTACACAAATACAATCCTATATCTAATGTCAACCTTTTACTCAGAGCCCAATATTTGCCATACTATACGATCAAATCTTCATCATAGTACGTTGAAAGAATGAATTCCTTGTAAATATCCAAAGAATCATTATACATTTTTCCAAATAAATTCTTGATAGTAGTAAAAATTATTGTCACTCGAATACAAATCTATTCATAAAACAATACAACTAAGGTCGATTCCATTGGTATACAAGTAATTATAATTTTCAAGAAACATATCATTAGAAGGACTATTTCAAGACTGTATTCTTAGTGAAATATAAAACTGAAGCTGTTGATATGAACTTATCACAACCAGAAGAGTATGATATTTAACTTAGGGCTGTAATGGGGATAAAAGTGCAAAGACATTGAATACAACCAATTATCCAGCAGTCGAAGATGATGCATCAATCTTCCGTTATCCATATACATACATAAAGCTGCATATCAACGTATACACAAAACAAACAGCATAATGACGCTTTATAGGCTAAAACTGGTACACAACATACAATCACGATGAAACTGTCCCATATGAATAAATTCAGAAAATAGTATAGTAATAAATTAAAAATAGATCTACAATTCTGAAACCACATGACCCTTCTTAAATCAATTAAACAGACACTTACTTTATGAGGGATAATGATACTACCTAACTACCCAGACCTCAATAAAAAGAACAGGATTCAAGTCCATGATCCAATGGATCAAGGTCAATAGCTTAGACTGGTAGACAATAGCCCTGAAATACAAACTAGTCAAAATCGCCAGGCTTTGGATAATGAGAATTAAATGAAAGTCAACAAAATCATACAAAGATTAAGGATTACTATCAATAAAAAATGAAAATGTATAAGGTGTATGCATATATGCCATTGGGATAGGTTTTCAGCTAATACCATCTTAAGTTTATCGGTATAACACTTCCACTTTTAATCACGATTATGATTTCATCAACTGTAAAGCACTTCTTACAGTTTAAAGACTGATATAACAATTCTATACAAACACTAACACTCCCCTACCGCCCTCTATTCTTGAACAATTTCAACGAGACAACTATTCAACGCCCCCCAATTACAAAGAAGAACACTGAGAAATAATATAATAATTTTATACATCAAAGTGTTGAAAAAAGGTGAAAATAAAATTCGCATACATATAAACACATATTTGAACGATGTACAACACATGTAAGCATTTACATGCACAACTGAAATAAAATTGTCTTAGCAAATGGATTATATATAATCCACTTGTTAAGACAATTTTATTTCATTTGTGCATATATATATATATATATATATATATATATATATATATATATATATATGCCAACAAAACGTACGCCTTCTTGTGACCACAAGATGGCGTACGTTATATAGGCAACAGTTGAGAGATCATAGTTTTTTACACCCTTTTCGTCTCTTCCACTTGCTAACAATAAAGATATAGAAAATAAAATGCAAAACAGTTGCACAATACCAAGAATAGTATTTTTTTTGTAAAATAAGACCGAAAAAAAAGTGATAAAGGCAACCAAAAAAATCTTCAAGGTAATAGAAATATAAGAGAAATTTAAAGATCCTGTCATGCATTACTATCTATCCGTCGAAATATTGTATGAATTCTTTGATGATGATAGGTCATACTCCAAATGCTTAGGCTTATTTGCTAGATCATCACAATTACTCTCTGATTTATCATGATGAAGGAAATATAGTAAAATGAAATAGAGAAAAAGACCAGATCCCTTGACAATTATTCCAAGACCTGAAAGTATAAAGCAAAAAAATATAAGAATTATGATTATAAAAATTGCTTGCTAATAAATACATAGATAAACACGAGTTAATGAATTCCGTGATTGTTAGTCTAAACTGGGTAGGCCTCATAGTTCAAGTTCATTAGACGACCGAAATTGATAGCTCAAAACGCTGGGTGATGTTATACAGAATCAATAATGATAATGCAGTTGCATCTATGTCATATCTTCTCATAGATTTGGAAACATTCATTGAATATTTTGCTATCATTATCTTGCTTTCCTTCTCATTTTACACTATTCCATAATTTAGAAGTAGTATTCATCATGGACTGACATCAGTTGGGGAACCATTGAAAACCTGAGAGCACTGGACAACTGTTTCGTCATTGTATGGGATTTCTCAGTAGTACGCACCTACGACCGCGCTACAGATTAAACTCAGGACCCTCAGGTTTCACGGCGAACGCGTTAACCATTCAACCACCGGGTCGGTTTCCAGTGGTTCGCAATTTCCAACTTCTGTCAACTCACGATATAGCACGACTATCACCCAAGGTCTTCAGTTAGCACCCACTTCACTTCCGACTGGTTGACCCCATACTAGGACGAAACAACTATCCAGTGCTCCCAGATTTTCAATGGTTCCCCAACTGATGTCAGTCCATGATGAATACTACTTCTAAAAAATTAAAAATCCCTATTCATCTCAAAAATACGTTATTCTATAATTATTAATTTGTTTATTGATGAAATGAGTTAACGTGGACTGATATACAACAATCCCAAATCCTAATTCATTTTGTCTTTTCTGTTGTAGACCGATTCTCATTAGTATAAGTGTAAGACATAGACGCTGTGGTAGAGTGCAATTCCATATGAGAATGAACAATAACTTATACTCAAAACATCATCAATTAAATATTACTGTATCATTGTGTATTAATACATCAAATAAACAAATCTATTATGGGAGCTCTCATTAGCATCTTAAAAGGACACTGGAGCTGAGGTTGAATTTAAGTAAATTACAAAATGAAATGCTACTTAGGCATGTATCGAATTAGATTCACTAATACTGGGTGATGATTGAAGGTGAAATGAAAATTTGGACCGCAGCCGGATTCGAACCAGTGACAACCGGGTTTCCGGTTCGGTGCTCTACCAACTGAGCTACAAGATCTGACTGCTGAACAGATTTTTATTTCATTTCAATCACCAATATTGACTAAAGCATAAATGGTCGTAATTATCATCCTAGAATGTAGAACGGTATTTATGTCTTGTAGTTTTGCACGATTTTATAATTCCTTTCAAAATCCAAGTGAACAAGTTAACATGCTGTCTACAACAAATAGATGAGTTAAACAAAATTATGTATGACACTTATTATAATTCATTGAGAATTGATGCACTATTTACAATTCTTGAATAAAACAATGGCAGAGAGATAACCCTTTTATTTGTTTTACGAAATATTTAACGATATCATACATTATATTTTAGTGAATTTCTCTGTAAGGGTTCGACATGAACAATTCATATCCAGACCGCCTCAGGCAGTAGTAAACCAACTTACCTTCTCTCATCTAGTACTATGCACATAACCTCAATATTGCTCACATACATTACGACTGCACCAAATGCAGGCAATGCTATGAAGACACTGATGATCAAACGTTTACAAAATCTACAATTATACTCTACACCTAGTTGAAACATCCTATCGTTAAATCTACAGATCTACGAAATAAACACTGTATATTCCACTGTGGGTAAACAACTCTAAAACCCATAAAACAATTCACTATATGTTTCTGAGCATCATACAGTTGATATCTTGGTAGTAGCTACAAGCTGTTGTATCCAGGATACATACAAATATGCCAGAACAACAACTAACCAGGACTGATTAAACATAATTTTTGCCAAAGATCCATTAAAATAATAATCCAGTTAAAGTTGTTTCCCATGAAACTACGTCAATAGATATTACTGCATACATAATTTTAAGTCTTATAATTCTAGTTCAAGATACCTCTAGAGAGTGTTAGAACTCGTTAGTTGGATGGAGGTAATCAGCAGAAAGCCCTGAAACTGGGTTTCGTGCTTGTTGGCATTCGTCAGTGAAGCGTATCTGCAACCTCAACGGAACTGATGTTCCACCTGAGATTAGAACCTGCGTCACTCAGTGTTGTGGTCAGCGAAGTTACTACTGGGCTATTCGAGTCGCGATTTATCTCCTATAGGACTGGATTAGATACAATTGATTGGTCACTGGAGAGTAACCAACTTCATGTTGTCTAGTCCTAAATGCTGACCGGTGAGGACATCAGTTACGTCAAGGTGGGAGATACACCTTGCTGACGAGTGCCAACAAACATGAAACCCAGGTCCAGGGCTTCCTCTCGATTACCTTCATTTAATTAACATCTGTCAAAGTGCATCAGTTGCCTAATCTGATGATCATATTGCAAAATGATCAGTAGAATTCGATCGGCACTTAGCACTAGACAACAGGAAAATGGTTGCCCTCCAGTGACCAATCGAATATAAGAACTTAAACTGACCCATTTTAACCAAGGGATAACAGAAATAGTGGTGAAAGACAATAAAGAAATAATTTTAAAGTCGAGTACAGTATAATCAACTAACGACAATAGACATCATCGACAAATCTTATGTAACGTAATGTGATCAGTACACTGTGATGAGCTGGTACAAGATGTTAGAAGTTGATTGGCAAAAATTTCAAGAACAGTTCAATGGAATACACAAAAAAACATTCTAAAAGATCAAATTTACTATGATCCTTATTATCAAAAATACAATTCCACTTACTAGTCATATACAAATTCAAATCCCTTACATCTACAAATGCACAATCCCCTTGACGACCGCATTCAGTTCGCCAAAAACGACACGCTCCATCAATTACACGACCAAATACTATTGGAGATGTTAAATTGGCTAAAAATCTTACAATGACAAATTTTAGACCCAAAGCAAATGAACGTTCACTATGACCAACTGATCTCATTGTTATCATTAATAAAGGATTTTGAATTACACCAGTAAGAAATAATAATGAAGTTAAAACAATCACAAATGGAACAATTGTGTTACAATGTAAATCACATTCTCCAAGTTGTGTTACATCAGTAGTTCTGTTGTTGAACAATGTACAGGAGCAATTATAAAACTAAAAATGAAAGCAGATAAATAAAGTAGGTTAACAATTTGTATTTCAATATATTTTGAAAAAAAAAAAGTTTTCGTATGAATATAGTTAGATCAGGTAAATATTTTCAGCCCAACCGGAAATTATATGGCTGAAATGAGAACAGATTTAACTAAGACAACTAGATGCTGGGAAGAAAAGGATGACATCATAGCACGTTAACAGTTTGTTGAATATTTTACAAAGAGGAATAATATAATTTCCTGAATAATGTTATCAAATATAAATGACTATTTATGCTTGTATCGGCAGCTTTGTAGTTCTATTTCTTCCGTTGTGATAAGGGTTATAATAAGAGAATCATAGAAGAAAAATTTAAAAGCTCTGGATTTACCTCTGATATGCTTATGAAAAATGAAGTACATGATGGATAGTGGCTAACAGTGAGATTCAGGACGAGCGTTTCGTCAGCTGGATGTACCTGCCTCTCAATGAGTAAGACATTCACAAAGGAGACTATTAAGCTGATAGAGTTTGGTCAATTCAGTCCAATCAACGACGGGAAATTTCAAGTTATAATATCTGAATGAATTACATTTTGAAATATCTAGTACACAAAATAACATGGTGATACGGCCAACTAAAGTTCTACTAGGCAGCCAATGTGAATACAATCAGGCAGTAGTAACGCATCACCAATTCACATGGTAGTCGGGTAAAACCCTTGGTGATTGAAAGGAAATAAAAAGCTGGTCAGCAGTCGGACCTTGCAGCTCAGTTGGTAGAGCACCGGACCGGTTCAGATCCCGCTGCGGTCTAAATTTTCATTTCACCTTCAGTTATCACCCAGTATAAATACTAGTCCGCAAACTACATCTATCTCAGATGGTCAAATGATATATTTTTTTTTCAATCATCTTCAAAATACTTTATATCGCATGTCAATCATCAGGTGAAAACCGTGTCAGTACTCATCAGCAATATGCATATTTACAGCTTCGAAAGAGCTAATATCTTATAAAAGATACAAACCCATGTCCCCCGTACCTGACGCTGAAGCTATTATTCGTGGGTTTTCCGAATAGATTTCACCTTCAGACTCTTTCTCGCTCTTTTCCAAGACAGTACCGGCGGCATAGACCGGTGATCGCATCTTATAATTTTCAAACAGTATCATTTTGGTTTGTAATGAAAAATAAATTACAAACCAAATACTTTCAGAAATTTACCAAGCATCAAACAGTTTATTTAAATGTAGATAGTTTTTAAATGGGAAATGTAGTTAAAATTTACGACAAGCAAATGGTATACACAACCCCCCTTTATGTTGGCACCATAATTCCGTACGACCTGTTTCCTCTCCTCCACTTTTTACTGCTTATAAAATCCTAAATTTATGCAATAAATTCCTGCACTAAATGAAGCACTAGGCACGGAGCGATCGGTGAGTTTGGGAACCTTCACTAAGTTATTTGGTCGGTTAGTCACGTTTTATGCACACCGACCTACAGCTTGTACTAACGCGGAATGTTAGAGTTAGGCTAAAAAAAAGAAGACAATTATAGTCAGGTCAAAAATGGTAACAATCATCCATGAAACGTCTCACTGCTGGTGTGAAGTCTAGGCTGCCAAGTGGGAGAAGGCACGACAACTAGAATTAATGGTTGAGGATTCTAGAAGATGCATATGTATGCCATCTCTTGAATTAAGTTGTACTGCCAAACATTACCGTTCGCTTCATCTCCTTTCACCTATTTTTATGACTTTTTAACACCTCTGATAGTGCAATATTTATTTCTTTGTCTACCACCTTTTAGGCGAACATTTCGACATGATGATGTAATAAACTGCAGTTAGAATGTCACACAATGATACCCAAGTGTTAGACTTCCGATACCTGCTTGTTTACACCAAAATCGAAACGCACCGTTTCAAACGCTAGTTTATTTCACTTGGCTAATAGGTTAGGACGAAAACCTCTAAATACTTGTGTCAGGGTGTCAGAGCATCAATTTTCTAATTCTTAGATTTAGAGAGCCAAAACAGCCTATCTAATAAAGATGAATCACAAAGAGAGGACAATCTGATGACCTAAATGCACATAAATATCAGTTTGACTATCTGAGATAGCCATGTTCTGGCAAACTTGTATTATTGATAATGGATGATGGTTGAGGGTGAAATGAAAATCTAGGCCATGGCAGGATTCGAACCAGCGGTACACCGGTTACTAGCTGGGTGCTCTACCAACTGAGATACGAAAGCCGTCGGTTCGAATACTGCCACGACACAGATCTTCACTTTATCTTCAATCATTATCTAGTATATAATAATAACATGAATGAAATTACCTCTTGTTGAGAGCTATTTGATAAAGATCTTTGTGTACAGCCTGCATGACAAGGTGAAACATATGTGATATCAGAAGCCAAATGACACACTGGAGACCATTTATTCTTATCACATGAACAGCCAGCATTACATGTGGACGACATTTCAAATGAAACAGATGAGCTAAATAAGAGAGGATGAAAAAAATACAAGAAAAAAAACTTTATAATGAGGTGAAAAGAAATCCTTATTAACCAGGTGATTCAGTCACTTCACCATTTTTTAACACAGAAGACAGTAATGGTCAATCTTGAAGCATCGTCTAGCATTTGTCGAGTCAGACAATCGGATTTTTGCTCAAAGCACTCATGAGACTCTAAATTTTGATAGCGTCTTCGACATACAGAACAATGATATCCAAGTACTCCAAGTCAAGCACGTGCCTTCTTAAGAATAAGTCAATTCCTGAGATGTAGCAGGTACCTGAGGTTATATCCAAAAGCATGTCTATAACAAAGCTAAACACGAATGGTGACAGTGGGAATCCTAAGGGGATACCACTGGTTGCCGTCACTTCAGACGATAACTAACCCATAAGCCATTAAATAGCTGTGTCAGTTAGAATAGAGTCATGATTGTGATTATATACTTGTTCGATACTCGCTACACGGTTAGACACCACAAGAAAATATTTAAAATGATAGTATATTACCCGTCAATCACGCTAAAAAGAAATCCAATATGCACTCAGCCACTTTGTGCACCTCCATCCAGTAGATAATGAGCCACAATTGTTGTATGACGGCTAGTGATGCCACTTACCTACCAAAGCCTCAGTAAGTGGAGCAAGGCTCGAACCCGTAACCCTAAACCAATTTGCCAAAGCACCACATGGTTCAATAGACTTATACAGAGTATAGAAATGTATACAGGGTATCTAGAAACCCTGTATGCAATTTATACTGCACACCAGCTTTATGGATACTCTGTATACAACATCTTTCACGGAATTCAACAAACAGAAACAAGATTATGCAACAGCAGGTAGCCATAGCATATACTCTGCCTTAATCTTTCCAGCCATAACATTATTTCAACTGCTAAATGAAATCAAACACAGATAAATCAGTACAAAAACAACTCTTCAGTAACATTAAAACAATCATCACAAAAATTCAGAATCATCCTTCCCAATGACATAAAGCTAGGAAAAATAGAGACCACGACAGATGAAAACAAACATTTGCACAGCGATTTTCATCGGCAAAAGAAAAGTATAGCAAAAAGATGAATTTCGCGGAGTCCAAAGGACATTCTGGCAAAAACTATTACACAAATGAAAATAAAGCTTCAAATCCCAAATTCCCGATCAAACAAGTTAGTAGAAAAACTGGTATCAAATGAAATGAAAATCTCACAAACAGCCAAGTAGAGCAGCTCACTTAGTAGAGAACCAGAGGCGAAATACAGCGGCATCTACTTCAAATTCAACAACACGCTCAAATAATCATTTCACCGTCGAACACACCACATCCCCTAAGAGAAACATAGAGAAGACAGAGGTGATGAACATACTCAACCAACAACAGCATCAACGACAAGCACCAATCACCATCAATGGGAGGAATCCAAACGAAATTGTCTCATTTCACATACCTAGGCAGCACCGTTTCAACTACAGACAGCGGCACAGATCAGGATGTCAAAGCAGCCAGCATCGGAAACGCAACAAGATAGGGCCTCCTCCGTTAATATGAAATCAGTGTGGAGATCTACTGCACTACACTCAGCATAAAGCATCAACAACATCCGCATTTTAAACACTAATCCAGTCAAGTCAGTGATTCTTCATGATGCTTCACAGACTTGGCGACGCGTCACGAAAAGCATTTACAACAAACTACACACACATTCATCACATCAACACCTGTCACTTACGCTCACTCGATACTGACACTGAAGATCAGATGGACTGCCAGAATAATAAGAATAAGCAACAAAGAACTCTGGCTGACTGGCTGACTGGCAACGAACCAATCAACAACCTATCACTCAACAAATATGCAGAAGAAGAAAGTAGAGATGGATCAGGTTGGGCATACACTGAGAAGACCATTCGGGGACATCACGCACCAGGTCAATCCCGGTCATCGAGTGGAATCCAAAGGGGAAACGACGAGTTGCGTGTCCCATGTGACGGTGACATGGAGGAGATCATGTGAGGAAGAAATGAAAGCTTATCGACTGTCGTGGAGCCAGGTTAGAAAGACTGCAGAGAGCAGAGTGTAGTGGAGGCCTGCTACTGAAGCCCTATGTTCCACTACAAACCCAAGGGAAAAATAATAACTATAAATTCTCTTCAGTTTGTTAAGAAATTCGTACGGACACAAGAGAAAAAAAAATAAGACAACAGTAGTACGAGTATGAGTAATAATAACAACACGAGTAGAGATGAAGTTCAAAGCATCTCGAGAAACTCCAAGCAGAGAACCCACACCTTCCTAAAAAGTTCAGAGTATCAGCTCTCCGACTCTCATAACATTCAATTTCCCTCTGAATTTACCCTTCTCCGGTTAAAATGTCGTGTCATGCATGAACACAAGCTATTCAATCAACAAACGTGAAACACCTGAAGATATTTACAATCGATTATCTAACGAATGTCTGCAAATATATCAGCCAATTGAAAAATTTTTGATAAAGGTGACAATCATTGTGATCATCTGAGACAGCCGTACCTTGGTAAACTAGTCTTGATACTCGATGATGATTGAAGGTGAAATGAAAATTTGGACTGTCGCCGAATTCGAACCAGTGACCACCGGATCTCAGGTCCGCTGATGTACCAACTCAACTACGACGTCCGAATGCTGACCAGACTTTTATCTCGCTTGGTGATTGAAATGATCAGACAACAAGCTGGTCAGATAACAAGTCGGACCTCGTAGCTTAGTTAGTAGAGCACCAGACCGGAAACCCAACGGCCACTAGTTCAATTCTCACCAAGGTCCAGATTTTCAATTCACCTTCAATCATCACCCAATATAAATATGACAATATTCACACCTCCAGTGCTATAAGTATGACCTCCTACACCACAATAAGCCCATATCAGTGAACTAAAAAATTCTTCTTATCGCTAAAAAGATAATGAATACCAATACGAAAAAGTGATATGTACAGGTCAAAGTATGACTCAACCAGTGAAACACAAACAATAAATGTCACAACAAATTGTGAATACAATTCAAAACACACACTCCATGCTTACCAACAAACAAAAAAAGGAATCCTAACACACTGATGACCTAATACTTGCATCTTCTCGTGTACCACAAAATTTATCTATTACACCAGAAAAGAGACTATGCAACAATCGTGACATGTTCATGTGGAATGTATACACTACGTAAGTCGTCTATATGATGCAATCGAAGATAACAGAATAAACGTGCAAATCAATATGGTAAAGCATTACATAGAAAACATGACTAATCTATCTAATTATCTGAGATCAGTTCATTAACAGATGACCTGATACTTGTATCTTGTTGTGTACCAAAAAATTGATCTATTCCATCAGAAAAGAGACTATGTAACAATCGTGATATGTTTGTGTGTTGAGTGCATATGACTCATTGGATTATATCAAATATTGAATTACGACATCTTGAATATCTCAACCATTGCGCAACTCAGACTGGTACCTAGAAAACAGATGGACTAGCGCCACCGCAATCATCATTGCACGTGAGATCAAAAAACAACAGTTAGACATATGACTTTTTCTAAAGGCAAAATATACTGACTTCTAGACTTAAAGCATACAACGGGCTAGAGGAAATGACGAGGTTACAGGATTAGCCTACGAAACAAAGTTTCATGATTATAAGTAGATTGTTGTGAATAACAAAAGTGCAAACTAAAGATATCACAGAAAGAATGGGAGAATTTGTTTTCCTAGGCATATGCAGGTGTCACTGAAACGGAGGAATCAAAGCACACTCTAATCACTTGTAGTGAAATAACTAACCAATTTTATAATGCATAAACCCATAAAAGTCAGAATGTTGGGGAGTATTTACCCAAGCAAATGTGTTACAAGTACAAAATACCTAATATCTGTTTCACAGAAGGTATCTTTCTGAAAGAACCTTAGAACTATTAGTCTAAGCAATGGACTTTTAACACGTAGATCACTATCTAATGCACGCACATTTACGTGACAGTTGAGTTATACACAGTAGGGTTATAACTATGAAATAAACAAGACACTTTATAATTCCATATAACCTATATTCCATTGCATACCAAAATGAAGGACAGACGGTGGCTGGGATATTACCATCAACAGGAAACCGACACATTCTAACAAGTTTATAAACTTCAGATCATTTCAACCAATACCAGTGAAGGCAGGTTTAGTCAAATAACAAAATAACAGAGCTAAAAATCTCACTGGTCAACGTACGGACTTAAACAAGGAATTGAAACACAAAAAAAAGCCTTTATAATTAATAATTATTTTCTGTAGAGACAACAGCGGACATGCATACACCACACCACTACTGCAGAAGGTTTCCAAGGAAGAAAGGAAAAGTACCTGCTGAGTGGAAGAATGCCTACCTTGCCAAACTCCCTAAGAAAGACGACCCACGTCTTTGCAAGGACTGGCGAGGAATCATCCTGCATTCCACACCAAGAGAAATATTAAGCCATATCATCCTGAAGAGAGAGAGAGAGAGAGACTAAATAATGCTCTGCATTCAAAATTACGACCACAACAGGCTGGATTCAGCACGTATAAATCATGTGCAAATCAAATTGCAACCCTACGCTACGCATCATCATAGAACAGAGCACAGAATGCCAGTCAACTCTCTAACTCAACCTCGAATTCATCGATTTTCAAAAGGCCTTCGACAGCATCGACCGAGAAGTAACTTGGTAGGCAGCTACTTCAACACCACGGCTTCAGTCACACGAACCCTCATCAAACTCATTCAACAGCTATATGCTCTATCATGAGGCTACATACTAAGTTATTCACAATCGAAAGCTCAGTGTTGCCTTCAAAGTGAAGACAGGCAGGAGTAAGACAAGGTTGCCGCCTACTATCACCAATCATCTTCCTGATTGTGGTCAGCTCGACTCCACTCGACTAGATCATGCAACAAACCGTG